AATACTTTTCCCTCTGACGTCTCTTTTCTCTTCTTCTTTTTTTTTTTTTTTTTTTTGTATTTCTTATACCGCGCACAGCCGTAACTAGATCCCGAACTCGCGGAGCTCTCGAGCGGATTTTATGGATTCGTTGACGTTACCTCTCGCCGCGCATTCCATCTTACTTCACCGATAAAAACTACTGTTGTAGCCGCGGTAATAATCCGTTCGGGCGAGCAAATGGAGTAAAACGAAAGAGACGTGAGAAATAGCGTGTATAGCGGACTGTTCGAAAGAGAGAGATAGAGAGACAGAAAGGCGCAAGGATAACAAAAGAGACAGACAACAGGTGTTGTGCGCGGAGAGCTACACAGTCGAACAGGCTTCTTCGAAAAGGCGCGATTCCAAAGCGCGAGAGAGAATCTCGCGCTTTGGCGAAGAATCTCACCGCGCGTCGCCAAAATAAACGATTGACCCACAGCGGACGGAATAAACAAACGTCGATAGCTTTCCGCAATTAAATCGCAGAACGTTGCCGGCGGCCGCTACACGTGTTATTACAAATTTTACGCTATCCCCGCTAATTGCGAGGAGCGCTTAGTTCGATTAATAACACGTCCGACGTGATGGTAATGGCGCCGTTGTTTTTTTTTTTTTTTTTTTTTTTTTTAAGAATGCTCTCTGCTAAACGAGCTATGTAATGGAACGTTCGAGGTAATCCGCGCGCCGGTTAATTAATTTAAATTCAATCGTAATCTCGTTATAGGCCTACAAACCTCCTTCTCGTTGCGAGAAAGAGACTTTTCCAACATTTTGTCGCAATTGCTGCGACAAAATACGAAGCGAGCGAGCCAGCTCGTTCACTAAGTCAATCGGGAAATTTTTATCGCGCGCGCATGTGGTTAATTAATATAAATCGAGCCGGAATGTTTGATTGCGCCGCGAAGAATGACCGTGGTCGTTCTTCCGACCGTGACGATTCTACTGGATCAAGGATCGTCGAAACGGATCGAAGTAACGATTAGAAATAACACAACGGGAGGAGAAGAGAGACGGCCATTAATATATCCGGCGAAACGCGCCGCGCGCGCGCGCGCGCACGGATTCTTTTAGCCGCGCCACGTCGGTGGTTATTACGCAATCTCTTTTAACCCGCTGCCGGCTGAGAGATATTTCTCCACGTTGCTGGCGTGGGACACACTCCGGCGAATAATGTTGTCTCGGGTTCATTCCCGGAGTGGGAAACGCGGGCGGAGAGAGGCCTGTCCATAAATCAGAACCGAGAAAAGGTCACGGGGGAAGTCGGTTCGAACGAAGATCGCAACCCGATCTCCTCGCGCGTTTCAAACGCGCTTTTTTTCCACGCTTTTTCCACACACAAAGCGGAATTAAATAAAATATAAACCGACGCAACGAAATTGCACATCTCGACGCGACCTCGATCGAAAAAGTCCGTATTAAAATTCTCCGACATCCTATATCCATTTTATCCTTCGCGCGCGTTCTTGTTTCCTCTCCCTCCCCCCTCCCCTCCTCGCCCTCGTTCGCGCGCGTTTAATCGATCGGCGTGTACGCGCGCCGGCCGCTAAGCTAGCAACCGAGAGAGCGAGAGATACCGATCCGATACCGCGTCCGATCTATCGATTCCGCGTCTCTCAAAGAATTTAATGAAACCGCAACGGCTATAGTTTCTCAAGAAGGGAGACGGAGGGGAAATAAAAAGACGAAGGAGCAATTTTCTATCTAATTTCGATAGCCATCGCCCCGCGCGCGTTCGTGCGATCCGGAGGATCGTTGTAGTTATTAACGAACGGTCGTTTCTTCGATAGCTCGTTACGGGGGATCACACCCTTTACGTGGATTACACGCCGTAGTGAAATGCGCTCGCTTTCGGAGCCCCCCCTCCCCCCCTTGCTCGTCGCGCGCGTATTACATTACACACAGCGAGCTTTGCGAGATACGACTCGCGTTTTCTACCAGGAAATTGGAGATTTCCTGGATTTTAAAAACCCCTGGATTATTATTCCTAGAGAGATATCTTGCAATGTGTAATAATATTTTTCAATATTTTTTACAACAAAAACAAAATAAAACAAAAAAAAATGAATCGCGTTGCTTCTCTCATCGCCGAAGGTCGCGCGATAAAACGCGCTCCACTAGAGTGCGCGCCGCCGCCGCGTGTGCGTAAAAACAAACTTTCGTATACGAGATTGCATATACCTATCGCGCGGCGTATATCGCGCTGAACGACTACTAGAAACACACGAAGGAATACTGAATAATTCAGGCAGTGACCGTAGCGAGTGACGTCACGATAGTATTCAGCCGGTGGACTGTTCAGGCTGAGCGACCATGCGCGACCCCATCCTGTGCGGCCGCCGCGTCGCGCCGCGCCATAGAAAATTTCAGCTTTCCGTAAAATATACCCTAGTACCGCGCTTAGATACAAAAAAAAAAAAATGCAGGAAATATCGATTAGGAGAACAAAAAAAAAAAAAAAAAAGAACTTGTAAGCGATCCTTTGTTATTATAATATTATCCTATCGCGTCTTGCGAAACTTCATCTACGCGTCGACTCTCGCGAGTCGAGGTTGCGCTTCTCATTGTGGATGAATAATTTTTTTTTTTTTTGCATCTTTGTGTAACACACGTGCGCGCAACACGTGCGCTGTGGCAATACAAACGCGTTCGGTTTCAACAACAGTTTTTTTTTTTTTTTTAAAGAAGATGATAAAACTCGTGACGTATCCTTGTCGCGAAAATCCGATCCAGACGCGATTCTCTCTCGTCTACGGTTCTTTCGACATCTTTCATCCTGGCCTCGTTATCACCCCGAGGCCATCACCGGATATCTCGCAATAACATACCCGTCGTTTTCCCGCTATTGTATGGAAATGCTAGGAAGAAGTCTCTCTCTCTCTCTCTCTCTCTCTCTCTCTCTCTCTCTCGCGCGCGTCGTGTTCGTCGCAAAGCCTATCTGTTCGCGATACAAAGAACGATGAGGAGTAAAAATCGAAATACGATTGTCATTAGCGACGACATCGCGCGAATCCGCTTCATTGTTCTGATATTCGCATCGGTCTCTAAATAGTTCAACGTCAATGTCAGCGGTTTGTCGGGCTCGCGATTGAACGCTCTTCTCTCTCTCTCTCTCTCTTTTTTTTTCTTTTTGTTATATTCATTTATAATTTATTTTGTCTCATCTTTATTATATTTTTGTACATATTTTGTTTTTCTTTTACAAAAATAAAAAAATATAACTAAAATAAAAATGTTTATTTAATTAAAATTTTTATTTCATGTTATTTTTGAAGGGAATTTTTCCAAAGCGCGTTATAAACAAAGCTTCAATCAATTAATCTCTCTCTCTCTCTCTCTCTTTCTTTAGCATTCAAGATCGCATTGTAAATATCTTACCTGCACTTTCACTCTCTGCGTCGTTTATTTCTAACCCTAATCGCTCGCATGAAAAGACTCGTATAGAAATACTCAACAACGTTTAAATCAATTTAAGTCCCAACACACGACGACATTCTTTGTTATACATGAGGCTAAAAGTTTGTTTCGGAGAGAAAAGAAAATGTTCAAGTAAGTAGAAATCGAACAGAAGTCCGAAAGAAGCGTCTAATTAATATTTCTTCATCCGCCCGGTCTTCTCTTCGAGAGTTCGTAGTTAGAGTTAATTAGATCGCAATTAAGAAATGAGTGCGCGAGAGACGGGGCGAGAGTTCCTCGGAATCGGTCCTTTCCTCGTGGAACGAGAAGAAAAACGAATGCTCGAAATATGCATCGGCGTCCTTTCACTTGTTCCCGCGAGCGGCAGACGGCCTTTTCTTTCGGCCCACGCGCGAAACAAGAGCGGCGTTCATGCAAATCGAGAATCGCGGCGGCGGAGCGGATTTTTTTTTTTTTTTTTTTCTTTTCAAACGCGGCGTTCGGGAAATTAATCCGACTTGTCCAACGCGTGAGAACCGTGCCTCGGAGGCGCAAATCGCGCCTGCTAATCCGCTTCGTCGTTAAGAGCACAAACGTCAGAGACTAGGTTTCACCTTACGTGGGAGATTTTCACACGACGCGCGGGGGTGAGGTTGTGTATGTGCGCGCGCGTGTGCACGCGCGCGGAATATTTATCGCGCACGTGGGCGCAGATATTCGATTGCGCGGCGAAGATTAATCCGTAATTTATATACACTTAAAGCCGCGAAGAAACCCTCCTGCTTCCTACCACTTGGGTTTCACGGTTGTTAATTATTTCGGTAACAGCCGCGTCGGTTGTTTTCCCGCAGGTCGAAACGAACAATCGCGTTCCGACGACTTTTACGCTCGTCTTCGCAAACGTTCCGCTTCTCTCGTCTGTCTGATCACCTTAAGTCTCGGTCTGGGACACGTGGGAAAGAAAGTGACGAGAAGTTCGCGAGAGTAACCTACTGTTATAGATCGCGCAGTTTTTGCGCGCGCGCGCGCGCTAGTTGCTTCGCGGATTAATTTCTTC